TGGTTGATTTGAGGGTTGGATCCTTAACTTTTGAAAGTTGTTGCTCTTAAAGTGTGATGTATCCCTTAACTCTGCGTTTTCTTCAAGCTTCTTCTTCTCTCTTAAATCTCCTAAGCCACTAAGTTTAAGGAAATGGAGGTATGAGTGGTTTAGCTTTTAATAGGAGGAAAGGTTGGTGATTTTCGAAGAAAATTCTTAGTGATTTACTAAGACTCCGTTTCGATGGACTTTTTTTTTCTTCAAAAGCTGTTTTTTTTTAAGAAAAAAAAAGCACTTCTCGAAAAAAGTCTTTTTGGATGTCTGTTTTTAAAAAAAGCAGAAGTCATAAAAAAGTCAAAAAATAACTTTTTTCGGAAGCTAAAAATTTTAGCTTTTAAAATAAGCAGAAGTCAAAAGTCAAATATTTTTTTCAAAAATCAAATATTTTTTAAAAAATCTAAATAGCTGTAACTTTTAAAGAAAATACTTTTAAAATAAAGAAGTGATAAAAAAGACTTTTACAAAAAGGCAATACAAACGAACCCTAAGTCAGAAATTTGAGGAGGGGAGTAATTGCATGTGAAGTTTAAGTGGAATAAAAATTGAAGGAAGTAAGGTGTAGAAAAGATAAAACGAGAGATGGTGGAAAAGAATATGTAAGGAAGGAAGAGTGTGGGGGAGAATAATGCTATTTGCCCCCTCTTTTTTTTTTATACATAACAGTTACTCATTATTAAACCTTTGTTTTATTAAGAAGTTAAAGTTAAGATATTACCATTATTATTAGTTACATTTTATTTTATCAAATTTTTTAATAATGAAATTAATTAATATCATTTTATTGTAATATACTTTATTGTATTCTTTTTCATCAATCTAAACATAGCCTAAACACAAGTAAATTTATAGTAAGGTGGCATAATTAATTGATATAAAAATATACAATGAGCCTTGATAGAATTTGATTTTAAAATCCGTTTTTTTTTTTAAATTTTGGTCCAACCCCTCGATATAAACTGAAATTAAAAAGTTTTTAAATAAGTTTTTGTAGATTTAGAAAAAAAAAATTAGAATGTAAAAAATAAGCTTTTGATCACTATAAGATAATTGAAAATTAAAAAACAATATAATTAGAAACAATTTTATTAATATGATACAATTTGACTATGTTAGTGAGATTGTGGTGTCACATAGCAGCAGCACCGTGAGTCTTGCTAGGCCCATTACCGAGATTGTCACATGAAATACGGAAGTACATAATTGACTTGAGCAATTTTTTTATGGGAAAGTTTTTTCTCCTATAACCTAAAACAACGATGTTTTAGGATTTAAGAAGAAAAAAAATGAAGAGTATTTTAAAAAATTTATTTTACTTTTATATCATAAATTTTATTAAAATACTTTGGATTTTTTCCAACTACAAAATAATGTTGTTTTAAAAATTGCAAAACATAACTTTATCTTCTGTTGCTAAAAAAATATTAATCCCTTCTTTTATTCAAATAAATGCGGAATAACAATTACTATCAATAATAATTAATGAAATTCCAAAGAGGTGATGTGGGGGACGACTCGTGGTACCCTGACATGCAAAAATTTTGTAAAAAATGGATACGCTCTGACACGTTCCGAGACACGCTCGACACGCAGTCAATAATTTGGAACACGCGATCAACTCTCTGATACGTTTTTTCGACACGCAGTCAACTTTTACTGACATACGGTCAATGTTTCGACACACATCCAACACGTTTTTTTTTTACTCTTAATTTTATTTTATTAACTAAACATAAAAAAATAATTTATAAATCAATTTTTTTTTTTATGAAATTTGATTTTAAAAATTAACAAGGTACGAAAAATTATTTTTATTTTTATTTAAAAATTATGAAATTTAAATATTTGATTGGTTATTAAATATAAATTATATTATATATATTAAAAATATTATTTAATATCAAATCGTGTCGAAATATAATACTTTTTAAAATTAACGTGTCGTGTCGTATCGTGTCTCGTGTTCCGTATCAGTGTCAGTGCATCATAAGGGACGACGTTCAATTAACTATGGGTATAACTTATTATAAGTAATTTAATATTATTTATGGGTGTCAATTTTTATAAATTATCATTATATATGTATGTATAGTTAATCATGTAATTACGAATGAATAATTTATATTTTTAGAATTGATTTATGAATGATTGATTTCATATTTATAGGTGATTGATTCTGTAATTATTGATGAACAATAGAAAAAATATGTGTTTTTGACGAGAAATGAGATATTATATCTATTTTTTATATTTATTTTACTTATTCATCTTTAATATCATTAAATTAAAATCTAAAGAAGAAAGAGAAATAGTAAATATTAATGGAGATTTTGATTTAATAATATTTGAAATAAATAAATAAGATAAGCATAAAAAATTTCCTATTTTTTTATAAATATTCAAGCATCAAAAGTAATAAGAGTTTTATTTGATTACGGTGGCGGAAGTCAAATTTCTTACAACATTGTTGGCATAGATTGATCTTAGTTAGGGCCGTTGAAATTTTTTTCGTATTATCGGAAACTGAATTTTTTTAAATTTTAAATTTTCAGATATTATCGTAAACTAAAGGTAAAAATTATATTTTTAAAAGATCGAAATTTTTAGACAAATAAAAATTTCTATTGTACCAAACGCCCCCTTATTATCTTGTAATGGATTTTTTAACTCCATATCCAATTTTTTTTATTATTTATCTAATTCTATCAACAAGTGTCCTTACAGGTTTCTGCCCCATTTGATTTGACATTTACTTGTCTCTGCCCTTTCTAGAACTGCGTGTCCCCCCTCCCTTTAAAAGAATAAATTTTTGGTATTACTATGTACCTAGATTCAGTGCATCTCATTAATGAGAGCATTACACATCAGAGGAGAGAAAAAAAATTTAACAAAAATAAAATAAAATTAACTGACATTTCATATTTTTATTGGTGAGATGCACTGAATCTTTGGTACAACAGTAGTATAAATCCCCTCTAAAAAGTAGGTCAGAGGATAGATGAGAGAGAGTATCAAAATAATTATCTCTTTTATTTTTGGTATCCTAAAATGAATAATTATATCTTATTATATCATATCATAACATATTAAATTAGTAAAAAATTATGTCAATGCAATTCAAGATATGTTATTAGAAATTATAACAATTTATATATCAAACATTATTTTATAAAATATAATAAATAAGACATGAAATAAGGTTTGAATCAATAAACATGGTCAATTACATTACGGATTAATTCAAAACAATCGTCAATCAAATTTATGATTCATTAAATATGATCCAAGTATTCAAAAAAATTATGTGCTTTAAATATGAAAAATATTTTGAAATTGATTTATTGCAAAAAAATTATTTATAAATTTTCCCTTAATTATTAAGTGAGATTTGATTTTAATTTTTTTCTTATTTTTTGACATAATTATTTCTGATTGTTTTGCAATTAACATGTAAAGAGATATTTAATATTTATATCATAAAAAGTTGGATATTTTTCTATTTTAATAATTATAATTGAAAACATAATTTTTTATTCAGTATTTTTTTTTGTTTCACATCACATTTAACACACGCACACACACAAAATTATTTCCCCATTTTTTTATATATAATAGTTACTTATCAACCGAATCAACCGATTCCAACCGCGGTGACCAAATCGAAAAAACGTTAACTGAATAAATGGAGAATTGAAAACCGAAAAAAAATCACAAATTTTAATTGGATTGGATCGATTTCGGATTGATCGAAGAAAACCGATCCAATATATTAATTACTTTTTATCTACTTGGGCATTTCCCCAACCATAGCCCAAAAATTTCTAAACCCAAGAAAAAACCTAGTCACATCTCATCAACAAAATTTCATCTAAGTAGATTAATGTTATAAAAATTGGACCGACCCGGTCGACCCGAAAACCGGTGAACCGGTCATGTAACCGGTTCGATTTTCATATTGAATCGGTCATGTTACAGAACCGGTGGGACCCGGCCGGTTTTCGTAAAAATCGGTGACCCGGTCAGTTCAACTGGTGACCCAACCCGGTCTATGAAAAAAAAAAAATTATTTTCATAAATTAATGTCTTCTTATTTTTTTACTCTCAAACACAAATGATTTGTTTTCTTTTGAAATATTTGAGTGATTTGTAGCTTATTAACTTATATAGATTATATACCTACAACACTAATATTATCTTGATTATGCAATATGCAGAAAATTTTGATTTGATTTATAATTAGAGATATAGTTTACTGAACCTGAAATACTAGTATCACAAATATTATATGATCAATTTCATAATACAAATTTAATCACTCATTTACATGATCACCCATAAATATAAATTTAACCCCAAATTTCGATTTCATAAATACAAAATCAATTATCTAAACTTACATAATCAAACCCATTGGATGGGATAGCTTAAAAGTGATTGTTTGAACTCAAATTCGATAGTTCGATTCAAATTGCGAAAATTAGTATATCTCCAAAAAATATATATATATATATGATCAATCAATTATTATGTTAACACATAATTAATATCTATATAATCATCTGGGATGTAATCTGGACATCTCTGCTGAAAGAGGGACTACAGCGGGCTAATAAGTAGAAAGGTGAAGAAACAGCCAACGGTAGGGTTTCTTCATACATTCATTAATAAAAGAGTATATTTAAGTAAAATTGAATCTTCTAAGTTCCCTAAACTATCTTATGATTTAACTCAAAATAAAACAATCATGTCTTATATCAATTGATCTATGCAACAATTTAATTAAGACATGCTTGGAGATTGACGTATAACATAGATGATGCAACAATCTAATCTTTCTAATCTCTGGAGCCACATTTTATCAGATAAAACTAATCGAAGATGTAAGAAAAACAAAACTATTCACCTTAACCCGAAATAACCACGATATTTGACCACAAATTAGCGCAAGAACTAGAAGATGCATTAATTTATGTTACTACTGTAGAAAAGTCAAGGCAACGATTTTGATTGTTTCCCTTAAGCACCACAAAACCAAAAACAAACATTATCTAAGCAGGCATCAAAGTTTTTAACCCTAGCTACTACTTAATCTTCATTGCCTAGTTCTGGTAAACTAACTAATACAAGCTAAACTTTAACTAATACAAGCTAAACTTTGACAGTAATCAAAGCAATTTTTCACTGGCTAGTTCCCATCATCAGCAGATTTCAGGTAAAGGTTTTCACCACCTTCACCAGCATTTCGTCCTTCAGATGAACTCCCAATATCATGCTTGCTACTTCCAATGATACCCCTACCAGCACTGTGCAAACCCTCCCCAGAGGAACCTCGGGCAAAATCAGGAAACCCTCCAGAACTCATTGTTGCACTGCCTCCCACATTGACATTGTTGCCATCACCATGCAACATGTGAAGTCCTTGACTTCCACCACCTGAATTCATACCAAGTTGGCTGTGCAAGGCTTGCTGCTGTTGAAGTGCTGAGTAAGGCTGTTGAGTATACAGAAGGGAGGACCTTGCAGCCATTAGTTGCTGTTGTGTCAACTGTTGCGCCTGCTGACCCTGCAAGTAGTGTGCTCCCTGCTGCATCATTCCACCAGGAGGGTACTGCAGTATAAAACCCAAAATATTGACCATTAGTATTTAGTAGTACTGATATAACAGATGAAGTCTCTCTCTCTATCTCTCATATGAAAGAAGCACAAATTGTCTAGGAAAAGCAAGAGATTGATAGTGATCATTGTAATATACTAAGTGATCAATTATACTAATCAACGATCTGAATATCAAGCATGTACCTGACCAGGCATGGTGGGTGGTTGGGGTTGAGAATCAGCTATTGCAGCTAGGTACATGAGATTTCTCTGAAGCCTTGCTTGGTTCCTGAAATAGGGGCAAAAGGATTATGAATGAATGACCCTTTAACAAACCAACAATAGGGACAAGTATGTTAAATCAGACCCATGACAATTTAAGATGTTTGGGAGAAACTCCAATAATCCGTTCTTTCTCTATCTCTAAACAAACAAGCAGAAGTTTGATTTATAGAAGAAACCTTCCCAAGATGAATAAGTAAACTAAGATCATACTCAATTACTTCCAGCTGCATAGAACCGCGACCAAGCTTTATCCCACTCAGTGGGTTCAGCTATAAAGATCAATTAACATCATTCAGCTATATATCCAAAACCAAATTTTCAATATAACCATTTAAACCAAGGTCTTCTTTTCAACGGTTTCTCCTATTCTATTGTCTTCACTTCCAACAGCATAACACTTGCAGTCCGCAAGAAAACCTTAAAACACTGCAGATTCCTTCTGAACTCATATAGATTCAAAATTTCTAAGAGCTTTCGTGTAGCATTTGTTTTAATTAATGATTGGCTACTTCCAAAATGTTCACCCAAATAATACTAGAGAATATCAAATTTTATTAAGACTTCTATGAATAATGTCTCACGATGAAAGAGCTCAAAAATTCTTAAAATCAGTGTTCGAATCTTTTATTTAATTTTGCAATTATGTTCACATCCTAAAGCTATCCACGTAAGATCAACTTAATCGGCCTGCAATAGAAGCTCACAACAGAAAGTAGATATTTGTAAGTTTCAATGTCATGCAGATATATATTAAGTATGACACGAATCAGCCACGTACACACATTCTTTGCACACACACTATCATGTAATAAAGCTGAAATCCAAACATAATAGAGCAGTGCAATTTCAAATTCTATTCGTTAATTGGCTGATAAGCTTAAAATTTGCCATTATATCATTACATAATGTTGACGGGGTGGGAAATTCCCCGGTGTTGTGTTGCACCCTATCTAGCTGGCAAGGCTATTTTATAGTTAATTAGTTTGAGCCTAGTTATCAAGGCCCATTAGCTGGCATCTAACGATAAATGACCCTGCCAACCAGTTATTAAGAAATGAAAAACAATAAAATCAATTCAAATGACAGGAGAATTAGACTAATTCTTACTCGGCACACTCGTTCATCTTGCCAGCATTCTGGCTTTCCACAATCTTCAGAATTAAGGACTTGTTCTCATCCAGGAACTGCTTGTTGAATAAAAGGGGGTTAAGGGTCAAAAGAAAAAAGATAATATCATATAAATACTAGGAAAACATCCTAATGAATTGGAGGGTAAAGGCTAAAACGTCCTCGCTGAAAATATGAAAAATAGTTTATTTTAGTTGACTACATATAATAAACACTAAACCTTTTAAGGTATGTGAATTCTATACAAGTAATGTTTCCTAAATTTAAGAAACGTTCCATATGATGCAGCAAAGAGATGTCACCTAATCAAAATCTCAAAATCAAAAGCTGTAAGCTCAATCAATGACTATATGATAAAGAAGGAAGCACGAGGACTCGCAGTTGAATACAGAAGTAGGGGCGGGCATGATATCAAAATCCACTAAACTGAAAGGAAAATACTTCAAACATTCAGAGCACACCATGTTCAACAAATTATTCTAGGACCTAGAGCATTACAATACAAAGTCCAAGTGTCTAGACAATGTAATTAAAGCTAGTGATACAAAACAAAATAAGAAACATATCAAAAATAGGCCCAAGTATTGGTTTTGATGATTAAAGACAAGGATTTTGATCTGATCAACGGAGGGTAGCAGATTCAGATTGAGATAATGTAATCTGAACGGTGAGAAAAGCACAGGTCATCATAATAAAAGCTGTGAGGCAGGCAGCAGCATATAATATATTTGGAAAAAGCAAAGGAACCAAAACTGGGTTGGTGGGTGGGAGCAAAGAAAGAAATTGATGAGATTGTCTGGCAAAGACACCAACCCACATAGGATCAATTACGTAAACTGGTACCAGAAGCTGACAAGGGGGAAGAAGCAGAATAAAAGAGAAGAGATACTAATGAGTGAAAAAAAAAGCATCACAAGCGGTACTAAAAGTAGGCATAGAAGACCCACAAGCAGTGGTAAGACAAAAGGGCCCTGTGCAGAGAGATAGATGACTTGAGATTGTTGGCATGGTAGACCGACCAACAAGCAAAAGACATTGACTTGGAGAAGGAGATGAAGAGATAAATTAAACCTGTTGAATGTGATCAGTGGTGACGTTGTTTGGGTAGTAAGCTGCCATCATAGGCTGCATCTGCATCAGGTGCTGCTGCATTTTTTCACACACTCTTTTTATATATATATATATAATTTTTATATATATATAAATATCTCTCACTTCACTTAGTCACGCCACTTAGCGAGTCTTTCTTTCTTTCTTTCTTTCTCTATCAAGTTTGAGCTGAGCAGAGCAGGAAACACCCTCTGCAAGAGTGCAACTGCAAAGAGAAACAAAAGGGTCTGTGTTCCCACTTTTCCCTTCTCTTGGCAATTATAATGATGCTACCACACACGGAAGAAGATGTTAGAAAGCGTGACTAGAGAGAGAGAGAGAGAAAATAATGCTTTGGGTTTGGGGCCTTTATTTTGGTTCTATTACTATTTTGTTTGATTTGACTCTTTCTTCTCTCTGCTCCTCTCTAGAACTGCGTGTCCCCCCCTCCCTCTAAAAAGTAGGTCACGTGATAGATGAGAGAGAGAATCAAAATAATTATATCATATCATATTAAATTTTGTAGTAACAAATTATATCAATGCGTATCAAGATATGTTATTAGAAATTATAACAAATTTAATAAAATGTAATAAATAAGGATTGAATTGGAGGGATGTTCTTATAAAAAAAACTCACTACTAATTCATTGCCTATGTAATAACTAATAATTATTAGATGAATATTTTTTCTCTTTTCATAAATTTTTAAGTATTTTTTTTATCCAATAACGATTACATAAGTAACAAGTTTATAGTAAAAAATTTTTATAATAAGAGTATCCCTCCTCACCTTTAAACATGGTCAAGTACATAATGGATTAATTCAAAAATTTCGGTCAATCAAATTTATGATTCATTAAATATGATCCATGTATTCAAGAAAATTATCGTGATTTAAATACGAAATATATTTTGAAATTGATTTATTTTCAAATTTTTATTTATAAAACTTTGCTTTAATTATTAAGTAAGATACTTTTTTTGGTGGGATTATTAAGTAGGATTTAATTTTAAATATTTTCTTAATTTTAGGCATTAATTATTTCTGATTATAATGCAATTAATATGAAAAAACTGCATACCCAGATAAATAACTGTTACCCAAGTATCCAGGTGCCTCATCCGGTAAAAACTCAACTTGTACAAGAATAGTTATATTTCGCGAAATATACCGGATTGGAAGGAGATACTTAGGTATCTTTATGGTCAACGGTAAAACATGAACAAATTAATGTTATGTTTGTTGAAAAAGTTAAATTTTTGCCATACTTTATAAACCAAGTTAATTTGATAATTACAGTGGCCAAAAAGCCAAAGTACATATGGTACTTCATATTTATATTTATTATCTATATACTTAATAGATGCTTGATAATATTTTTCAACTAAATAACTATATTTTTATTCTCTAATTGTATTATTTATAATGAATGTGATGTGGCGTGTTTTGTTGGGATACGTATCTAGCATTTTTCATATAAGAATTTCTCGTAAAACAGAGAGTATCGCATATTAAACGTGACATTTTTGTCCGCTTTGGTCTCACCATATTAATGTTGATGACGTTGAGCTTGGGTAAGAGATTCCAATACTTCCATTCAAATCATTATTTCACGCGCTCTCTTTAACGCGTTCCACTCCTCTACTAATCTCTGTTAATTAACCTTGAAGTTCGTGCAAATCATTGCTCTCCTCTTTTTCTGTTTTCTTTTTATTCCATGTATTTTCTTTTTTGAATCTTTTATGCAATTAGGGATTTCTTTTCGCATGTACAGAAATAAAAAATATAAATCATTAAATGATAATTAAATATGGGAAATAGTTTTCTCCAACTGTAGGAGATAACTATCTCATGTCAGTGAGATATAAAAAGACGTGCCTGTAATTTTATTTCTTTTTTAATTTTTTTAACTTGTGGGCTCTACATTTTTTGTTAGTGTAGGAAAAAAAACTTCTCTCATGTTAAATGAGAGAAGTATTACCCATTAAATATATGTTGAAATTAAAAAAAAAGTTTAAATTTTTCTTATTCTTTGTTGTTAGATTTTTGTTGATATTCATAGTGTTAGCTCTAAATATTTATTAATAAAACCCTTATTATTATGGTTCTTAATAAATAACTATTTAATGTGTTTATCATATTATTCAATTGAAAATATGAAACATTGAGATATTAAGCAATATTATTAAAAAAGGCCCGGTCATTGATTCGGTTGAAGTACTGGGTCAGTGTCAATGGTTCAACCAGTGGGTCACTGGTTCAATCGCATGATCCGGTAATTATATGTAATTTTTTAATATAAATTAAAAAATTATAAACATACTCAAATATCTAAAACAAATGATAAAAATTTCAAATATTTTAATATAAAAAATAATAAATAATAAATCACATATTATTATCCAATAAAGAATCAAACAAAATATTATGATGTTGATACGGGGCTTTAGGTTCATGAAATGACATATCTAATTATAAATCAAATCAAAATTTTCTACATAATGCATAATTGAGATAATATTAGTGTTATAGGTACATAACTTATGTAAGTCAATAAGTAAAAAAGTATTCAAATATGTCTATTGGGATTTTTTTTTAAAGAAAATTGAATTTTTTTTTTGGGACCGGGTCGCATCGGTTCTGATACTTGGTCGATCCGTTGCTTTAACCGGACCAGTTACATGACCGATTATCAGTTATCGGGTCGACCCGGCCGGGTCGATCCGGTTTTTATTAACACTGATATTACTTATATATCTAATAATTTATTGTTAAATATTTCAATTAGTGCTCTTACGAAATTTGTAAGCAAATCCCTATTGTTATTTGCATCATCCTAAAATTTATTTACATTGATGCACTAACACTTGATCCACGGTGTATAGCTCCCAAATAATGAAATGGTTCAAAAATTATAGAATCAAATATAATTATGTAAATATGGTTGGCATTTAAAAGAAGCAACAATTTGAACTTTTAAAATATTACGCTTAAATCCAAGTTTAAATGAAGGTTCTTGTGTTTTGTTTGGGAAAAAAAAGAAAATTTGATATTTAAGATTTCAGAAGTATTTTGAATAATTTAATTGTAACTATTTATGTTTATAAGAGAGGTTATACTTACTATTTTTTTTTTATCTCTTACTACCAAATCTTAACCGTTGATTTGTGTCAATCTAACTATTATAATTTACTGGGAATTAATAATTGTGACCAAATAAATTATAACTGTTTAATTGACAAAAATCAATGGTTAAGATTTAATAGTAACAGATAATAAAAAAAATATAGTAAGTATAACCTTTCACGTTATTTATATACTTATTTATTCTTAAAAAATAATTATCGTTATATTTATTTTTAGAATTTTAAATTTTGAATTGATTTGATAATCAACCTATAAAAGGGTACTTAATAACTTTACCGTGGGAGTTAAATATTTTGTTATTTGATAATAAAAATTGAGAATCAAAGGTTTCTCTTTTACTAAATTCTATTTTTATATTTAGCCACTTTTTCGATCGATTTTGGCATCAGAATCATTCTTCGATTCTCAATTATAATAATCAAAATAATAAAATATTCAACTTCTTTAATAGAATTTTTAACATCATTTTATAAATTAATTATAAATCAATTCAGAATTTAAAATTTCAAAAATAAAGAAAATTTATAAAGATAAACATAATGATAACTAGCTCTAGAAAATAAAGAAAATTTCTTAAAATACAGATAATTAAGTATAATTAATCATTCAAAATACATCATAGATCTTAGATCTAAAAGCAAGATAAATTTATTACTTTTTTCAAAAAATTACAATTAATTTCATTGTTTCATTTCTGTTTTGGTTGTAATTTGTTAAATTTCAAATTACTATTTATTTTAACCTGTGAATCGTGTTTAACAGGCCATAATTTTATTTAACTCCAAATTTCTTAAATCAATTGATTAACTGGTTGAGCCATGGATAATGGTCAAGTGTTAGTGCATCAATGGATACGAGTAGTATAATGTTTTAGTTGGACATTATATTTTTCTTTTAATAGTTATATTATATAAGAAATGATATACTTACAACCTATTTTTGTTTATAATCTTTTACAATTAGATTTTAACCGTCGATTTCCGCCAATCAACTATTATCATTTATTGTGAATTAATAATTAATAAATAAATTTGATTTGATAAAATAATAACCATTGATTGGTGAAAATCAACGGTTAAAATATGTTTGTAAGACATTACAAACAAAAAAAAAGTTGTAAGTAAAAAAAAATCGTATTATATTTATTTGAAATTAAAATTATTCAATTTATATATTTAACTGATGTTTTTAAAATACTAATATTTTGTATAACAAGCAGTGGAGGAGCCAGTTAATTCATTGAGATAGGGTCAACAAAAATTTAATTGGACCTGACAATAAAATTTTTTCAAAAACTTCACCACAATCATTCGGTTAGGTTAAAAATATGGCTAATTTTCAAATATTAGCTCGAATTGAGCCCGAGCGTGCCCCTAAGTGATAAAAAGCACGTAAAACAAAAAAAAAAGTTCGTGAACAACCATAAACATAGTGCTATTTTAAATTGATGATTACATGAATTAAAATCAATAATGAGAAAATTAATTTTTTATATCATAAATCCATCCAAAATTTAAAGACTCACAAAGGAGTCTCTAAAAAGCAAAAAAAATAAAACTTTACAAAGATAATGTATCATATATGTCAATAATCTGAGTTGTAAGAAAATGCTCATGAAAAGAAACGATTTAATATATCTCAAGTATGATTTAGTTTGAGTTTGAATATAAAAAAAGAATCTTATAAGTTAAACACAATCCCAAAATCAGAAATTAAACTATATAAACTAACATTTTACAAATATTTAAGTTAGTAATTAATATTTAACACATATATAAAATTATGTGAATCATATTCAAAATATATTTTATCATGCTAACCCTTTAATTAAGTGTCTAAAAATAAGAAGCGACGGATTAGGAATTTCTGGTCCTACCTAAAAGGATTGAAAGAGTGCTATGTTGCATTGAATTGAAGAATAGTAGGGAGAATAATTGCCTGAATCTTGGTTTCCTAGTCACAAAGACATCGGATAAGTACCCCGGAAATTACAATGCCATTCCCATCAATCAAATCAATTGATTAGAAGAGTTGGGATTGGGGCCCAAAGGTTC